AAATTGACTGGACATTATGGTTAAAAGGCATACTTTCTCTCCCCTTTCAATGTAGCAATTGGCAGGGTATTTTTGATTTAGATTATCCAAAAAGCAGTGGAAGAATCTTTGCTTGGTACTCAGGCCACTGGTGCATCTTGAGCAAAGACATGGCTCTTTAAAAAAACAAAAAAAAAACAAACACAACAACTTTATTTTACTTTTGTGATCCAGGAGCTGATCACGAACACCTCTCTGGCAGAGTTGGAGAAACAGCTGAAGGAGACCCCCTTCAAGTCACCACAAGTTGGTGAGTAAATACACCAATGTCTGCCTGAACACTCATTCTACAAAGTCCTGCCAACACCATATTTTTTTTTTAATACTGTTCCTGTCAGAAACGGCAGAGGGATTCCATAGTTATGACACCGCCCAGGAGCAGCTCCACGAGGCTGGGTATGACGCCTACATCACTGGCCTCTGTTTCATCTCAATGGCCAACTACCTGGGTAACACACACAATGTTTTGCAAATTATGAAGACATTTTTTTGTTTGTTTTAAATTAAACAAACTGTCCGACACTCTTTACAGGTTCTTTCTTGACTCCACCCAAAGCGTACATCTCTGCTCGCTCCAAACTAATTGAGCCGTTCTTCAACAAGTAAGAGATCCATTTATATTTATGGTATTTGCTTTCATTTTCTACAAAAGAAATTTAAAAAAAAAAGAAGCAAGTAATACTTCTCTTTTCTGTACTCAAGGCTTTTCCTGATGAGGATAATAGATATTCCCTACCTCAACATCACAGGACCAGATTGTGAGTATGAAATAGCAGATGAGTGCTACGTGTTTGGAAATATGCCCACATGAATACAAAATGAATTTGTTGGGTCCCAAGGACAGACTGTTTTTGGTGAAAAATGTAAACATAAGTAGGGTTGGTTTATGAGAACTCCACAGGGAACCTTTTTTAAAGCTGCATTATATTAATAAAAAAAAGAAAAAGGCCCCGGCTTTGATTTTATTGACTGTGTATCTTAGCCTGCCACGTGCTTTAACTTCTGTAAGAGCCACTTACTAACTTCAGCTATTGATTTTCTTGATTCAGGTTTAATATGGAATATCACTTAATGAAGCTTTAAATTAAAACTACTCACCTGTTTTTTTCCATCTCATCTCCTCTGTTCCCACAGTGCAACCTAAAAGAGACCATGTCCTGTATGTCACCTTTCCAAAAGAATGGAAGACTAGTGACCTCTACCAGCTCTTTAGTGCCTTTGGTAAGACAAGATTCTGCCCGATTGATTAAATAATCATAACCCATTGTAGATCACTCCTACTATTTCTACTTATCAAACCAGGAAACATCCAGGTTTCATGGATAGATGACACATCAGCGTTTGTGTCCCTAAGTCAGACAGACCAGGTACAGATAGGTGAGTCTGACACCGCAGCTGCATAAATGTGTCATCTGCGCAAAAAATCGTTGATGCAGTCTGTTAACGTCTTACTTTGTTCACGTAGCTATGAACACCAGTCGATATGCAGAGAGTTACAGGATCCAGACTTATGCAGAGTACATCCAGGGTAAGCAGCAGGACAAGGAGAAGCTCGGTCAGACAACCAAATCTTGGGGAGAGGACGGCTGGGCTAAATCTCACTACACCTCTACTACTTCCTGTGGATATGGATATCCCAGGTACACTTATGCTAATGTAAACTGCATTTTTCAATGTAACACTAGCGGGTTTACCTCTCGCCTTGGGAGTTTCTGCAGGTATGCAGTTTCTATTTATACTGATGTATGGCCTATTGTTTCTTTGTTACAGGGGTTTGCGGAAACGCAGCATCAGTCCTGTTCAGGGAGAGCACGAAGCTGGAGAGGCTCTAATTGCAGACGGCTGGAGTCACTACTCGTATCCGGATAGCACAGGCAGCAAGAAGATGAAAACTGATGGTGTGTGAACGCATGCGAGCATAAATATTTTCTGCTGCAGTGTGGTATTATGCAGCAGGTTTTCCCTTGGAAAGTACTCAGCAGAGATTCGGTGTACCCTGAGGCAGAGAGCGCAGGTGGCATTGTGAATAATCATTGCAACCAATGAGATTAATTAAGTCAAGGAACACTGGGTAAAATTAGACTCTTTTAGTAATATAAACCTGTTCATTCCTTGTCATTGTGTTTCTAGACATAAGTGGACAGGCAAATGCAGAAGCTGTCGAGAGCAAGACATCAGAAGGATGGCTAAAGACGGCGTAAGTAAAATGGAAGTGATCATTTATTCTGTCACGGTTATCCTCTGGGCTGTGATTTAAGTGTCTTAATGGTTGCTGTGCCTTGCAGAGATTCCTCAGATTCAGCAGGGTTAAGTCTGGTCCCTGACGAGGAGGAAGGTCCTGAGCCCACAGATCCAGCCAATGATGCTGAGGGGACAGTCACCTGGCAACAAGCCTCAACGGTCCACAGGAGGAAAGGTCAAAAGAAAAAGAAAACTGAAGGTATGTTCGCTCATTAAGCCTTTGAAACAGCATGACATGGTTCAGACGGTTAACAAAAGCATTTGTCTAAAATACTCTTGTAACTTCAAATGATACCTCCATAATAACTTGTATGAATGTAGATTCACAAAATTTAAATATGGAAATCAACAGGGCTAAAGCCCTGGATATGCTTGCTTTTAACTATGTGTTCACGCCCGCAAGATGGCTGCCGCATGTATCCTGCGTTCCTTTGGAGCGTAGGTTGTGCACGTCTCCAGAAATTAACGCTACGCGTCCGCGAGATGCAGTTCAGCACATGAACATGGAGACAGTATGTCGATCTGACTGGCAGGTCAGCAGCAATCTACTGTTAAACACAGCCCAGGTGGTGACGGTATGCAGTTCGTTTGCCAACCACCATTAAACCCAAAAGAAGGTCAGCAGGAGACATAAAAAAAAAAGACTTATGGCAGGATGTTTACAATAAAACTCCTGGAGCTAGTCCACAATTATAGAGATCGTTATGGTGTCACTATGTTTCATTTGTTTACGATGCGCAAATTCGGAGGTTGTCAAGGAAGATAATCCAGTGTTGGCGAGGGATGACCCGGTCCTGGCCTGCCTCCTAGTGGATTCAGGTTTAATCCTCCAGGTACACACAAAGTACGCAGGCAAGTATGTGAACAAAGCTGTTAGCGTTGCCGACGCCTGTCAACACCTACGCATATACTAGGGCTTACAACAAAGTTTACAGATAACTCACTTCCTGTTTGCATCACCCAAAACATGATTGGAGGTGGGGTAGAGAACATGTATAGTACCATTGACATGTGAAATGATGGCATTTCTGGGTAGCTCAGCTTATCCTGAAAATGATCATGTCTTTGACAAGGGAATAAAAACTGAGCAAAAAGCTAAGGTTTCAAAAAAATTAATTTACAGATTGACAAAATTTCAGTATAACTCTTTCATTCTCATCTTGGCATGTCTGTCCTTTCTTGCACAGGTGCTGAATCTACAACATCACTGTTTGAGGTCCCAGAAGTCTGGTAGCAAGAGGTGAGGAGTGGAGAAGCCTCTGTCACACACTAAGCTCCTGCTCTGAGTCTCTTCATCCTGTAAGGGTTGTACATCACTGGGAGTGGTGTACGCCCTAAATTCATTCGTTCACTCAACAGCTGTGGATACCTTGTCCAAAGCTACCAGCCAAGCCACTTGACTGAAAGAGAGAACACAAGCCATAACAGCTGCCATATTTTTGATCTTGTACCAGAGGAGCAGGCAACTCTGCTGGGTAAACGCACGCACACACCACTAGAATCTTAAAATCTAAACTCCAGAAATGTTCATTTATTCTGTGTTCTGACTGGAATCTGCCACCACAGCCATGCAGTCACTTTGAAATCTTTTTAATGACACCGTCACCTCCATCAGTCTTATATTTTGTATGTGAGTTTGTGCATGTGAGAGAGATGTACCTTTTTCTCCAGTCTTTGTATCCCTGTGAATCCATTTCCTTTACTTTACAATATCTGGGTTATTTAGATTTCTTTTTTTTTTTTTTTAATGCAGTCACATTTTTCCCTTTTTAAAAAAAAGTTCCATCAACTACCCCAGTTTTATGAAACGTAAGTTTATTATTGGTGGCATTTCGATCCTTAGAGGTGCTTGTTTTTGTACAGAATTGTTTTTCTTTACCTTTTTTTTTGTGTTTTGTAACTGTGTCAACCTGCAACAATGTCTATGTTCTAATGCAAAATGTGTGAACGTTAAGAAGACGAATACTCTTTTGTACAAGATAAAGTTTAAAAATCTTAAATATTTCCTTGGAAAAGGAAAGAATAAAAGAATGTTTCTTAGTCGGTTTGTCTTCTGTTTTCAATCTCACCCGTGTTGAACTGAGGGCCTTTTTCTACAATTAGTAACTGCACCGTACAATTGTTTAATCCATAGTCTGAAATATTAACACTTATGCATTCACATGCCCTTATGTACAGGTCCTGTTTGGGTTCTGGTAAAACCATAATCCTGTATGTGGTTAATTGAGAGCATTTGACATCTCTACAAAAAAAGGCTCCTACAGCTTTACACTTGGCACACTAATGATCTAAAGCGTATTAGGTCTACCATCTTAAATTTGGTGTTACTCAATAACGGAGCCATAATTATTGGAACATATGTTCTTTCCCTACTGTTAGAAGTAAAGGTCTGCTGTGAAGAAGAAATATTTACACTTGTTCCTAGAATCAAAGTGAGATAATGAGAAGACAAACATCAAAATGCATAGATCATGTATGGTAAATACTGCTCATAGTTAGTCTTCTTCCTGTTTAAAATGACAATTCACTTTGTAAAATTAATAGCAACAGTATTCATTCACCCAACATGATGTAGGTGATATGTCTTTGGGTTCAGTCACCTCATGAAACTGTCGTTTTCTTCAAGTAGAACAAATTGTATCCAGAAGATTTTCAAACCACACGCATGTTACAGTTTTGTGCTGTTGCTGACTTGTGACAAATTGTGTTTGGTTTTTTTGTTTTTTTTGTTTTTTTTTTTTGTTCCCTCACGCATTTTAGGGTGTTGTACCACTTGAATAAGTAAATGTACCAAAGTCAGATTTTAATTTGTAACAAAATATTTCCAGGTCACAAATGATTTTACAAGTACTGTATTTGACTTGCCTTTTATAGTTTATAAAACCAATCACAAAGACACTAGTATAACCTACTGTGTACAGGAGTTCTATACCTCACTGACACTGTTTTGTTAACAAAAAAAATATATTTGCTAAAAAAAGCATTGTGCAGACATACAACTCTCAGCTCCTTCAATAAAGAAACAAGTCTGAGGTAAATGGAAGTCTGTGGCAATTATTTAACAACGTGATTGTTTTATCTTTCATTTGGTTCAAGTGACGCACAAGATCAGGCATCACTGGACTGAAAGATATTTTGATAGTCCAGGTTAATGATCATTCCCACAGAGAACCAGGTCCCTGTTCTCCTCAAGACCCTTGCTTGACTTCCATTAGGCACAACCCAGGGAGTTGGCCATGTGGACTAGAAAAGAGAAAAGATAGAAAAGAGATTTATTTATTTATTTATTTATCTTTGTGGCAGACTTCTCCAGACACTGTCAGAGTCCTCACCTGGTGTTTCCAAGCAGCACAACCACAGACAAGGTGCTGTCTGGGAGGGATCTGAAGAGCTTCCGCAAGCGTCGGTCCAACTTCCTCATCATGACATCCACTTGCTGGTCCTACACAGATTACAAAATCGAGTCTTCATTGCTTGTATCAAATGAATAATAAACTGTTCAGGTCTTTCAAACATTTGCCCCACAAAGCTAGCCTAAATCTAAACAGCTCAGTTTTCATTATGAGATTTTATTTAATAAGATATCTACTAAGAATTGACTAAACCTGCCAGCTGAAAGACGGAACAATCAGGGAACTATGATGTTCAAAGAGGTGCAAAAACAAACTTCACTGCTAACATGGCTTGCTAACGGGCTAAATTCAGCATAGCATTTACAAACGTGTAATACTAATGTGTACTGTGTTAGCATGCTGACAAAGAAAAATACACTGGCAGACAGAAAAGCGGGGATTAGTTCAACATATATACAGCACCAGTTTTCACTGCGATTGACTAGTTTAAAAAAAAAAAAGTTGTGCCATCAGATTCATTTAAAACATCATTTATCATTATCAAAACAGTGGTTTTAGGAATGTGTGACGACCAGCTGTAGTCATTACAACCTTGTCTTTACCTGAGAACTGCTGTGCATGTGGGTCCCCTCCTCATCATCTTCTGCTTCCACTGTGGTGATCGGCATCGTCCCGGCAACCCATGAAGGCAAGTGGGGTGGAGTTAAGGATGGACAGATGAGGTAGTTTTCCTTCCGGAGATCCTCAGAGGAGCAGAGGGCTGCCTGTTTACCCTCTGAATTCTCAAACTCTGTCATCCAGAGACACTTGGGTTAGAGACACTCATACAGTACAACAAGGGAAGATGAATAATGTAGCTTTTTACTTACTTATGTAGGCATGTCTTGCATGTTTTCCAGGTTTGGCAAGCAGTACAACTCTCTCCACCGTACCAAAGTGACCAAATGTCTCTCTGACTGTCTCCTCAGACAGTTTAGACTTTGTGGTAGTGGGCTGCAACTTTTTACCGTTTACTTTAACTGGGGGAAATCCGTTCACTGTTGTAACAGGAGTAATACCTGAATATGTTGGATCTAACGTGTGTCCATTGAACTTTGCTGAAATCTGTATGCACTCAGCCATACTGGGGCTTAATTTTACAGTGTACAGGTGACTGGTGTTGAGATTGTCGCCCATTAACGCATTAAGAGTCAGATCCAAGTCCAGCACTGACTCATTAACAGGCCTCTGGACCTAGAAAAGACACACACAAGCAAAAATGTTGGAGATATAGTAGTCTACAAAAGTTTCAACGTAACTTTAAGTGTAATGTAAGGGGAATAATTAACAGAAAGCAAAAGAAAAACAGGAAGAGAGCTACCTTGATGGACTGTCCCTGCATATTTAGTCCATTCAAAGTTTTTAAAGCCAGCATAGCTCCCTCCAGCAGCTCGAACTCTACCTCCGCATGAACCTGGAGACCAAACATTGTCCAGGTGTTGATGTGTTAATCAGAGATAGAAATACAAAGCTTACTGAATGTAAAATAAATGATTATAATGTAGGTAAGATATACCCTGACAGTTGTGTTCAACATTTTGATTTTCCGAACCGGTCCACAGCAACAAAACAGCCGCCTCACTTCCCTCTCAGAGAAACCTGGAGGGAATGGCCCGGCAAACACTACACACATATCTCTAATTTTTGCGCACACCTGTAGGATAAACACACACATTAGGTAGCACATTTAAATGCAAGTAGTATTTTACATACATAAAATAACTCTCAGACACTTTTAAAGTGATCATGTTCTGAATAAATGCCTCACTCTCTGGTACTGGTGCTCCTGATGAGAGAAGTACCTCTTTAGATAGTCTGAGAGGGAAGAAAACTGGAGCACTGAGAGGAACGGACACTTGGTCTGTCTCCTGAAAGACGCCAACAGCTGAAGGAGACCAGATAAAGTGACAAAGGCAGAGAAAAATAAGAGGACGGGCACTATATTGTTCATTGTCAAATTAGGCAGAAATGACACACAACTGAATGGAGACAGGGATCCCAATATCTAAAAAATAGCTAAAACAGCAGCAGGGAAGCTATAACTTCCCTTTAACCTTTATGAGGACCAACAGATCAATGCATATTTTGGGTAGAAAGCAAAGCTCATATCAAGTGTCTAATCAGGTAAAGGCCAGGAGGCATTAAAGCTACAAATCCTCATGTCTCACCTCTTTGTCAGAGTTGTGCCACAGCTGTTTCGACAGATCCAGGGCAATGTCGGAGCGCTTTCCTAAAAAGGCTATTGACCGTCCAAGTGTCTGTAGTCTGTCAACAAACCTGCACAAGAAATTAAGACGGATAATCTGTCAAATATAGCTGCAGCAGAATGTGCGATAAGATGGGCTTCACATTGTGAATGAAGAACAGAATCCTACTATTAGTAACAAAGATGTGCAGGAAAATTGATTGGGATAGGATTGGAAGATGTACGTTTTTAAGTCTATCATTTCAGATTTTCTAGAAGGCGTTAAAGCTCATTAACCCTGCCGTTGTAGTTGAAATTATTCTGTAGAACAACTAAATCATATGCACTTGATTAGAAAATTTCAGACAACGACAGACAGAGGTTACAGAGATCAGTAGACTGACTCAAACTAGGTCCACTTGTGAAAATCTGAAACTGCTGTTGATAAAAAGTGTAGTGATATGTAGAATATAAACAGGTACACAAACGTATTGTACCTGTGACTTGGTGTTGGTGCAGGTGCACAGTCGGTGGACTCCTCCACTACTGTATATCCCCACAGCTCCTCCAGATGAAGTTCTACAACCTGACAGTGAGCATACACAGAAGATATCTCAGCTGTGTGTAGGTGTGTGTGTGTGTCTGTTTGTGTGTTAGAAAGTAATGTGTTACCTGAAGAGGTCCTGTTTTAATAAAGTACTGAGCCAGCTCCAGGGCTGCCACGGCATCCTCTATGGGATCATGACCCTTCTTCTCTTCAGTTTGAATTTGCCTCCTGGGACACAAGTGGAAAATTGAATTATTAGCCGTGGTGGGAGAAAGAGACAGATATGCTGAGAGAGAGTGAGAGAGAGACAACTTACTTCAGCACTGTCTCGGCCAGGACCTTAAGTTTAAACCTCTGTCCAAACTCTCTCCTGTACAGCAGTGAGGTGTCGATTACATGCCGGTGGACCAGCTGCCGGAAGGACACAAACAAAACAGAGGTCACAACTTCAGCTTTTATAGAAAAAATGTTTAAAGAGAGCCTCTCCGAAATGAAATATATATCTGCGATATATCTGAATTGAATGGATTGCCAATTAAAATGACTTCTGTTAAATACTGTAGTCACGTTGAGCTCTAAAAATATTGACATTTTAGATGAAGGCAACAAAAATCCCCATATCGTGGACACTAGTAATAAGGCACAGAAAAAAAATCTGGAAAAAATCACATTTATTTTACAGTGTTTATGATTTCTGAATATAAAAGCCCTTTACTTACTAGGTTAGTTTGAATACTTTCAGTACACACACATTTGAGTACAGCACAGTATTTGAGAGAAGCTAGAAGCTTAGCTTCTCTCAAATACTTCTATTATTAAAGAATATACGTGGCTGACAGCGACGCAGGCTGTTCACATAGCGGCTTTAAAGACTATAGATAGTGAAGACATTTTGCTAAACACACACTTCCATCTTCAAACACATACAAAGATTCTCCTGCCCTCAGGTTCATGATACGTTCAAACAGAACTATTGTAGTAACTCACTTTTAGAGCCATAAGGTCGTTGTTAAGTGAATGGCCCACCAAAACTGCATCGCTCGGCAACAACGCCCTGAGCTTCCTTTGAATGTCCTGCAGGTTGGTAGTGATTGGTCGCAACATCTCTGCGGTTATACCAGAGAACCTATCAGAAGGTGAATCAGAACATTGTGATTAATGTTGGTAAAACAGAACCAATCAATCAGTTTTAACAGTATCCATCTGTGTGTGTGTGTGTGTGCGTACATGCATATGTATGTGTGTACCTGGTGAGGTAGTTGAGGATTCGGTCCTGAGGTTTTACAAGATCGTCCATCACACAATTCCCATCACTATCCACCAGAGAAACACGAGCCAACTCATATCCCTTTTCTGTTAGACACTGAGCCACAACATGAACACACTGATTAACTGCTGGGACAGGGATGAAAACCTTGCAATAACTTCTAACAAAACTTCTAACAACATCTTGCCCACAAAAGCGATAATATCCAAGATGTGTAAACGGGGATGGCACTAGAGAGGAAGAACCAAACCAAAATACAGTTATTTACAGGGTGATGGGTGCGGTGATCTGACAATTTCAGCTGCTCTTTGTACCACACGAGCTACGAGTGAAATAGAAGTGCTTTAAAGTGATGTAGATTGCTCTAAAAACTTGGCTGACTTGTTTCTGAGCACATGTATCCACCTGGTTGTCTGTTTGGATAGATAATTTCTACCTGACAAACCAAAAAACATTTTTACCTGAAGCATATTTATAGTATTTATAGTAACATTCTGACTTGACCGAATGCGCTATAACGTTATGAAAACTCAAAATCACCCATTTAAAAATGTTTTTTAAAAACAAATGAAAATGTCATATTTATAATGATCCAAATTCTGCCAGTGAATTCATAACATACCGTCTATCATATATATAAGACGGTACTATAAAATTAGTGTATCCATACTACATTGCATATAGTATACCTGGTACGTGCCTGTCTATCAGTAATGTATGATGCATATATTTGTCACAATATACTATATACTGCAGTATTGATTGTTTGAAACTATATAATTGGATGGAAAGTGGGAATACTAAGTATATAGTTGAGAGCATCTCACCATCTCACAGTCAAGTCCATACAGAGGGCTGTTATCAGTCACATAGTCAACACTGTCTATGCACACATAATCCTCAAAGCCAGGCATTCCTGTGTCAGAAGAAACACAAAAAGAAGTGAGAAGGTAGAGATGGAGAAAGAGAGACCACGTCCACATCAACCAAGCTAAACCCGACAATGCATCTCTTTCTCTGCATTTATGCTTTCCATCTACAATATGTCATAATTTTTCACACACAAAAACAGAGCTTTTGTTGTAGATACATGTAAAAACACTTTTTAGTTTTAGTGAGGATGGAGAATACAGAGCTTTTGGAAAACAAAAACATACAGTGTGCCTGCTGAGGGACAGTCAGAAGCAGAGTGGCAGTAAAAAAGTCCTGACAGTGCAACCGTGGAAGAACTTAATTTAGCCGGCTTATTGTGGACGTTATCAGAGATAGACTTACCTTTGACAGGATAGTGTCTCTTGATCATCTCCTCCTGGGTGAGAACATACGCTGTCAGTCCTCTCCTCTGTGTCCCAAACTTGGTGATTACTGGGTGACACCTCAGTGCTGCAGCAGTGCACACCACACACACACACACAATTAATAACAAAAGCAAAAACACAAATCTACAACTCACAGCTATAATATTTTTATAATAATGTGATGATATTCTGGGGATGAATATTACAGTATTCAGAAGATAATTACACACAAGAATGTCCTTTTGACTAACAGTCAAATGAACTGTGGATATGAGACATTCATTGTTAATTTCATCACCAACAGTACCAAGTCTCCTGTTATATTGATATATTGCATAGGTCTGCACATACTCAGAACAAATCCCCCCACGATTCTCACCATTGTGCAGTTTACTGCTTTCATTGTGTCTCTGGGAAAGGGATGGATCATCAGATTCAGGGACTTCACTGCTGAAGATTCCTGACGCCAGGTCGGTAGAGGGTGGAATGAAGGTGACCCTCTAATCCAGCCAGATAAAAAGCAAGCACCAGTGTTAACCTAAAATTCTGACACAGTGAAGATAATGTTTCCCATTTCCCATCACCTCTGGTTGCTTACAGTGGTGTAGCTGGTCCTGAGGTGTTGCAGCGTGAGGTAGTGTTTGTAAAAGTGACTCTGGGTCAGGCCTTCCACGATCACCACATTCACAGCTTTAATCCTCTTCTGATGACGGAGACGACACCAACTAAAAGAGACACAGGGGAAGGCAGAAAATTAAGACAATTAGTGGTGTAGTCTGCAGTACAACAGACTTAAAATAGATCATATAGATTATTGTTAGAGCACGGGGACAAAGTATAAGTATCTTACAGAGAGTTATTTGATGAGAGCTGATAAGATCTTACTACCAAAGTCATTACCTGGGCTGTTTAATGCCACCTGTTTTCCCCAGAGCGGCGTAATGTAGCAGCTCCGTCAGCTCATTCAGTGTAATTGGTTGTTGAATGTGGTCAAGCAGCACAGAGATCCGCGGCGAGCGGAAGGAACGTCCACATTCCAGCGTCTCCTCACCTTCCTGCACAATTTTTAATCTCTTGGCCTTCTCATGTGCTGTGGGGGCAATACTCTTTCTTTTCTGTCCGTTGCATGTTGCTGCTGCTGCTGCTGATGATGATGACGACGAGGATGAAGGCTCCATGTTCAAGCTGATATTTCTACTGGGAGATAATAAAAAAAGCTATTTTCAATGACATTTGTCTCCCGGCTGTCAAATCTTAAACTTGCAGAAGTTGATGTACATCTAAAAGTTACACATGCTCCTCTTTAAATTTGCATTGTTTTATTTAGGGAAGTAGAAAAAGCAAGCCCCGTGTTAAGCCAGCTAGTGCTGTCTATCAAAGCCCAATACTTTTTGAGTACTGATCAAAATGTGTCAGTAACTTTAAATATCAAAAACTGTCAATTCTTGAAAGTTAGCATTGAATGCTTTATGTGTTCTTTAACGTTTAACTTATTCTTTGATCAGATATTTCCTCGCTTAAATCATCACTTTCAACTGTATTTTATACTGTGGTTGCTTTGTGCTCTGTGCTGGGACAAAATAAACACAAGGAAAAAGACAAAGTAGGTAGGTGGGGGTCTTCATGCTTTCATCTAGCCCGATTGCATTGCTGTTTCAGGAAATGACTTTAAACTACACAAACCTGTATTTTTCTGCAAGTAAACTACATCATAGACATCTGAAACAAAAAAGAGAGAGAAAGGGAATGAAGAATATGCACACGTTTACAGTGTAATCCCCAATATGAGGCACCAAATCAAGTAATGTTTTAGTACAGGTATCATATTGGCAGGAGCACTGAACATTTTCAAAAGATACCCAGCCCACCTGGCAATTATTTGGTGTACTGAAATTCTGTAATAACTTCACCAGGTGGGATTGTACAAGCAACACTAAAGAGGCGTTAGTATAGTATTTTTAAAATAACATTAATCTGGGTTCATCTTGATTGCTTTAACAATAAAACAACACATTATGGGGTTTACAGACTGATTGAAATTAACGTTACATGTTGTCTTTGGGGTACTTTACCCCACTATGAACTGTCAGGTAAATAAGTAAGTTTAAGCTTTATCTAGAGGTGCAGGTGGATTGATTGTAAGTTCACATTGGATTTTCAGTACAGTGACTTTGGGAATCTGAACTGTTACAGGTGTGCAAAGATACTTAACGTACAGAATTATACACGTGAAATGTCTCACCGTTCAGCTGGATCAGTGGTTTAACTTTCTCTCTCTCTGAGGGAGTTTCTGGGGTCAGTTTGGTGGTTAACTACTAGGATAACAGTTAACGTTACACGGGAAATACTATACACACCTAACGTTAGCAAGCTAATACTTCAACCAATAATTTCCACAAACGCATTCATAGCTCAGGAGTGTTTATAAGATCGGTATACACGTGAGAATAGTAACGAGAGCATCTGTAAATACCAGATGTTATTGGTCCTGCGGGGTCTGAATTCATGTTTTTCCACCACTGGTAGAGGCTAAAAACACATGGAGGTACTGCAGCACGTTACAATGTGTGACGTAAAGTTAGAAAAATACTATGACAATTTCCGGTTTGTAAGCGTTTGTAAGTCGGTGAGTGCATGTAGATAAAATTGCGTAGTGTCAGTGTTTAGTGGGAAATAATCACACGTTACAGATCAGACTGACACTGTATCGGCATATAATTACATTTATTTCATTCTTGTTGTCTTTGATGGGCTGCGGTTGGGTTAAAGCCAGTATTTCATGCTTTTGTTTTGACGACAAACCGGAAGTGAAGTTCTGTTTTTGATTCGTTTTTTCTTTGATCGACTATTTGTGTCTTCAGTTGCAGCCCCAACTAATCAAGCTTAGAGTACTGGATGAACATTTTTAAAAAAACCAGCGCGATTTGTGCTTCGTTTTCTGTCGTAGCTAGTGGCGAGTTCCTTTTATACCGTAATATTTTGTGGTAAAGTTAACGTTAGTTGCACGAAATTATAATAGGTAACATTATGTCTACGAGGAAACTGGCCAAGTAAGTAACAGATTAGCCATGTTAGCTAAGTTAACGTTAAATAACAACATGGGAAGACAGAGAAACAATGTCGTTAGTTAACATCCCTGAATGTTTTATTAACTTTGTAGGTTATAAGGTTACTTTTGTGTTACGATAAGTGCGTGATTAGTCTTTTAAAATGGAAGCTATCTGTGTTTGAAACAGTAACGTTACTTGCCCCTTACCCCCTTACTTTTGTCTTGTAACGTTAAAGGCACAAATTGGGGCAAAGGGGCAAGTATCGCTAAGATTTGGCAAAAACATGTGGGGCCTAAAGATAATAAGTTATTAGGTTTAACGTTCCTACACTTATAACAGAAGCTCTTAAATCCTTTCCTGCCTCCACAGAGAACTAGGATTATTGAAGCAGCGGGGTCAGTCCTCTAATGGGTTAAAGAAACTGCTATCAAGTAAGTATGAAATTATTTGATATGATAATGTGTATACAGAGTTCATGTTTAGACTTGATCCCCCTTTTTATTCACTGGATGACGCTGTTACATTTGCTGTATAATATTGTATGTTTTCTTTCAGATCAAATATTTTCATACCTGATAGTGATTGATTTCGAGTCTACTTGCTGGAGAGAGAAAAACCACTACAGCCAGGAAATTAGTAAGTAACCCTTTATATGTTGCGTGCAAACCATTCATCTGTTTACCCTTATTATTATTGTTAACACTCCTTCCATTCTTCCTTCTATGCAGTTGAGTTTCCTGCTGTTCTGCTGAACACGTCCACAGGGGAGATCGAGTCCGAGTTTCATACTTATGTTCAACCCCAGGAGCGCCCCATTCTGTCTGAGTTCTGCACTGAGCTGACTGGAATTACACAGGTATCTGTACATAGGCATGATGACACTGCTACAAACATATCATTGCGCTTTCTGGTTCCATGTACTGTAGATAGTTTAACATTACATCTGACAGCTTAATTTCTCTGTCTCACAGATGCAAGTTGAGGCAGGGATCCCCCTTCAAATCTGTCTTTCGCGGTTCAGCCGCTGGCTGCAAAACCTGCAGCTCGATATGGGTGTGGTGTTTTCCAACAGACAACAGATATCATCTGAATCTTCAGCTTCTCAAAAACTCTGTACCTTCCTCACATGGTCAGGTAAAAGTCAATAACAATGATCTACAACTCTTGTGGTAACCAGTCTCTGCCTCCGTTAGTGTGGATCTTTCCTGCATTGGAGACAAGAGCACACTAAACACCAAACCTTATACAATAATACTGATTTATCTGGCTCTGTAGCTCTGTTGCATTATTTGCAATGGAAAGGCTGTCTTACGACTTTAGCATGGTTTAATTTCCCCTTGTTGGAATTTTGAAATGTTTGAAAAATGAAGAGGAGAAATGTTGCTAAAACACATTGTTAATTTTAATGTGCCTCCATCTGCATTGCGCATCAGACTGGGATCTTGGAGTTTGCTTGCAGTACGAGTGCAAACGCAAGCAGCTCCATAAACCTGACGTGCTCAACAGCTGGATAGACTTGAGAAGCACCTACAGGGTAAGTAAAAGCTCAGTCGCTTTATCGTTACACTTCTGTACTCTTTCATTCTTCCACACTCGCTTACGGATGTACCAAACAATAATCTTTGTAGTTGTTTAGTGCACCAGTTCTTTTCTTGATTGTTTAGTCTATAAAAGTAATTTACATTTTATTGTTATGGCAAATTCCCACCTGAAGTTACCAGGGCCCAAAATGAAGTATTCAGTTTTCTTATTGTGTCTGAGCAACAGTCCAAAACCCAAAGGTATTACATTTTTAATGACATGAAACCAAGAATAACCCCTTTTTTGTATTTTTCAGCTGTTTTACGACAGGAAACCCAAAGGCCTCAACGGGGCACTACAAGATCTTGGAATACAGTTTTCAGGGAGAGAACATTCTGGTAAAAAAAAAAAAAAAAGTTATTTTGTCAAAATAAACCTTAATCTTGAAATAAAAAAAGACTTGATCTAATCTTGTGTTTCTTATTTTTCCGTCAGGTTTGGATGATGCCCGAAATACAGCTCAGTTGGCAGCGAGGATGATGAGGGATGGGTGTGTGATGAAGACCACTAGGAGCCTGGTGAGGGTGAGTGGTCGCCGTCCAACGATACATCCCAACCCCTAAATCCCTGGCCCCCATCTGTCTTGCCAAGCATAACCTGTTACAGAGGATGACCGTATGGAAGTCTTCATGGATGAAGCTTGTTTGGTGCAGAAAGGCATGTAGAATTTTAAATTTTGTGACGCTTTCTTATGTAAATAAACACATTTATAACTGAACCGTTGCAAATCATAAACTCTGGTACATACCCTTTGTTTGGTCCAGATTTTAGACTTTTGCACTTGATGTAAAATATGACAATGGACAATGAAGAGAGAAATTAAACATGCTGGGAAAATACAGCATAGCAGCAATAACTTCAATTGACAAGACGGTTTCAAGAAAAATCAGGAGTGGGTGATATTTTATTAGTTAATAAATGTATATCTGTCATCCTTTCTTCTAATAGACCCCACTAATGGTCAAACCTGTGTTTGGAAACACAACTGCAGACAACAAGAAAGAAAAATCTAACATCGATAAAGAGGAAAACACACTTACCACAAACACACTGTCATCGTCCAAGATTCCTCCCAAATCATGTTCAGAGAACTTTACAAAGGAGACGACAAGTTCAGTTCAGGAATCTGCTCAAATCTGTCAGAGCCTGATTTCACCAAAGACACTGCTCAATGGTACAACTACGTCACTATGGGGACGCAGCAGGACGTCAGTTACAGCAGAGGCAGTCACTAATATCTCCTCCTCAGTTCTGATAAATTGTCTTTCACCTCACAATAACAATAACTGCCTTGTTCTGTGTTCTACTACGGTGGGCTGCCTTTCAAATCTGCCTCAGCCAAAACAGCCCTCAAAAACTGGAGCAACAGTCGGACTTGTGGAGGAGGGGGAAGTTGCAGAACTCTTAGTGGAGACAGAGGACAGGTGTGGTTCATACGATGATGTGGTGTTGGAGGGTGATGATGATGATGTCGTCAGTGAAACGGAGAGAGGATTTGATATTGACCATGTGTCAGATTTTGACAGCGGATGTTATGTGTGGGAAGAAACTGATAATACACATTCACCAGGCGTTCAGGGCACATTAACAGATTATATAAAACAAACATTGTGCGTTGAAAAGAACTTTAAAACTCAAAAGATGACTAGTGAGTCATCCCATGTTAATGTGTCTAAATGCTTCAATGAAAACGGGCGACATTCAACATTCTCAGAGCCAAATACTTATTTTGCAGTTCCTAAAACTGTTCCTCGGGACTCCAAATCAAATCAGCATAAAACAGGACTTAAAACCTCTAGAAAAGTACTAGAAAAGTCTGATGGGCCCTTTAAAAACTCTAAAACAAACACACCCCTTCCCTTCAGGCACAAACCCTTCATCCCTGAAAAGACCTCCACCCCTTATACCTCATTTGCCAGGCCCAAAGCATTCACCACACAACACGCAAAGCTCAAAGAGACTCCGCAATCTTCCTTTACCATCTTCTCTGACCGAGAAAAACCCTCCCGTCCCCCCTCATGTGGATCTTTTTGCGGCTCTAAGAATGTCCTCTCCTCTTTGTCAACCAACACACTCTCCTCACGGGCCAATCATTCCTCCGTCTCTGTGACAGTGAAAGGACAGAGGATCACATCCCCACTGTGTGCGTGTGGGCGTCGTGCAAAGCGTCAAGTTGTATCCAATGGTGGTCCGAATCACGGGCGAGGGTTTTATTGCTGTCCAGTCCGCAGGTCTGGCAGCGGAAACATAATCCAGAAGGGATGTGAATTCTTTAAGTGGGAGTCAGCTCTGATGAAGAGCAGTTCAGTGGCCTCTCCTGCGGTCGGGTCCTCTGTCTCACTCTGTCAGATCAACTCGACTCTGAGCCGTCGCCCACCCGACAGGTCAGCGATAAGAAAGAGCTATTAACTTGTTGGAGAAAACCCGCTCACGTGTGTGTTCTACCTCAGTCACATAGACTTTGTGATATTATCAAAACACTATTGGTACGAAGATGATTAATTGTATTTTGTTTGTGTCTCCTCATTATGTTTTTTTAAAAGTAAAAACTGAATAGATGTGCTTGAAGATGAGAACAGATTTGTTTTTCTGTTGCTGCCACACCCACAGCTGCTGTGGAGATCTGCTGGAAGGAACTACATACAGCAGTACAAATCAAAGCTGTTAATGAAATTCCATAGTGAATGCTTAATTTAATTTATTGATTCCAGTTTGGTCAATTCATTTGCTTTGATCAATTTAAAATCAAATTAATTGCTTTTCTGTATTTGACAATATTATAAAGTGAGTCATACGTTTTAGGACATAAAAGTGAAATGAACATTAATGAATAATAACAATTGACTAATAAAATTATTTAATGTGATTTTAGTGATTATCGATTATTATTATTTCTTTTGAAAAAAGTACCAATAATGAAAACTGATAATAAACGTTATTGTATTTATTCTATTGTATGGTACATATACTGTTTTGGAAATATGCCTAGAGATCAAATGAAATGTTAAGTAAAATAATAAAGGGACTGTTATGTCAAGACTTTGTTTTATGTTGTAATTGTTTAATTTCTTGGTTTTGTTTAGACTGTTTTTATCAGTTGTGGAAAAAGTCTTCAGAACTTTTACTTAAGCACTTATAGCAAGTAAAAGTCCTGCATTCAAAATTTTCCTTAAGTAGAAGTATTAGCAACAAAATATATTTAAAGTATCAAAAGTATGGTCCTTTTCAGAATCGTGTATATATATATATACTAATCAAAATCAGCAAAGTAACCAGTAACTAAAGTTGTCAAAAATCATAATGGAGTTCAATAATTCCCTCTGAAATGTGGTGGACCCGTTAGCATAAAATAGAAATACTCGAGAAATGTACCTTAAAATTGTAGTGAAGTACAGTACTTAAGTAAATGTACATTGTGACATCCACCAGTGATATTTCTGTAATAAAAAATGCGGATAATCCAAGTTGCACAATGTTTCGGGCGTTTTTGTCCCTCCTCACACGCCGTACAGGACAAACCGGAACGTGCGATGTTGTGACCATAGACGGTACATATGGTTGTGACTAAATGAGACGTCGTGCCTCAAAGCAGCTACAGTTTCGACTTGAACACGTGTTTAGACGGGGAGGCTGTATCATTTTGTGAACTCCACGTGTTTGTTTTTATATAGTAACTTAGACGCTGCAGCTATAAAGTTTATAACCTTGTGTTAGCCGCAGCGGTTAAGCTAACGGCTAATTAAGCCGAGGGGGAGTAACCAAAACAAGAAGGTAGCCGTGCTGCTAGAGAGCGTAAACACAAGTTACTTTATTATTTGCACGAAATCTGCTATCATGTCGGCCGTGTCAAATGACTCGAGGAAACGGAGCAAGAAGCGGTATGCGGCCAGCCACCACAACAAGCGGTGGAAGGGCTCCCGGGAGCTGGAGGTGGGGATGCAGGGGATCCTCATCACATGCAACATGAACGAGAGGAAGTGCACCGCGGAGGCCTTCAATCTGCTCAATGAATACGCCGACCAGCTGTATGGGCCCGAGAAGGTGAGTCCAGAAGCACTTTTATATTCCCTGTTATACATATCTATCAGATCTCTACCAGTTATAGACGAGGCCTGTTCCCAAGTTACTGTGCATGTGAGCTGCACTCTATTACAGTAAGTTAGTGGGAAAGTGAAGACTGAAGTGCATATTCTATATTGTTTCTAACGTCACATTGAGTTTGTGTATTGCATTGAGGTAGTCAGAGAAAACAACTTTTCATTGTGCACATGCCTGTGACAATTGGTTTGAATTAAACCTCAAACTAGTTACAAATCAACTGAAATGTGACCATCTGTTATAGTGCTTAATCTAACAGTTTGGATTATCAGTTCAATTCTTTAAGTAGTCTTTCAGCCAAAAGTGGTCAACAATGTTGCCTGTTCCACCATATCAAATTTGAAGAATTGCTTGTTTTATATCATTGTATCAAGTTTTGATATCTTTGGACTTGATTTGGTAATAAAGTTGTTTCAGAGACTGCCCTCAACTGAGTAACTTAACTGATCTACTGACATAAAGTGGCACTCTCATGATCACAGTTGCAAGATAATAATGGAAGCAGCAGTGAAGAAGAGGAGGCCGAGGAAGAAGATGTTGATGTAGCGCTGAAGAAGGAAGTGGCACAGCTGCAAGCATCTGGAGCTAAACAGGAGAGACGCTTCCAGGCTTTGGTCAGTGGAGCAAACAATGTCATCTTCATCAAAACTCTAAATCTGGGTAAGTCCTTTTTTTTTTTTGAAAGAATGAATCACTAAAGTGAGTTAATTTTTGTTTTTTTTTGGCTTTCAGTATTATTATGGCAACAATTTGGATTTTGTTTTTTCCTTTCCAAGAATCTGACAAGCTGGTTCATCACATCCTATCTGATCTCCACACCACCAAGAAGAAAAAGTCCCGAGTGATACTTCGGATGCTGCCAGTGAGAAGCTAAAATCACAGTCAACAGTCACCCTAACTATGTTTAATATGACTCTTGATTGAACTGTTGTGAGTGACTAAAGTGTGTTCGTGAGACAGTGGTTTTTAAAAAAGGATACATTATTTGACATTTGTGGATAACAACTTCTAATGTTCTATGTGTCCAAATTATTAGGCATAGTTTTCACGTTGCATCATTTATTATGCCACTTGTGCAAATTAAGATGAGGTGCAGTTGTTGAATACCTTTTTATAACAATCGAAATGATTGTTAAAATGTCCGCAGTGTCTTACCCTTGTTTTCATCTCATCCAGGTAACAGGAACATGCAGGGCCTTCCAGGATGACATGGTGAAGTACCTCACCACTTACCTGGAGCCTTGGTTCAAAACCCCAAACTGTGCTACCTACCAGATCGCCTTCAAGGCCCGCAACAGCAGCCACAACAAGAGAGACGAAATCATCAAATCAGTAGCAGGTATTGTTTGGCTTTTAGATGTCAGATGAAAGAACTAAATGAAATTTAATTTCACCTTTTTGACAATCTGAACAATACTGACTCCTCCTTTTGGTTTTTGAATGTTGCAGGCCTAGTGGGGAAGTTGAACCCCAAGAACAAGGTTGATTTGACCAACCCAGAACTGACAATCATTGTGGAGGTCATCAAGGCTGTGTGTTGCATCAGTGTGGTAAAAGACTATACACTGTATAGAAAGTACAACGTTCAGGAAGTAGTAAAAGAGGACACGCCAAAGCTTGATGTGGCCACAGCAAAAACTGATACAAATACAGCGGAGGAGAAGGAGAAACACGATGCAGAGACAAACAAAGAAGAGAAGAAAGGCGAGGAAGACAATGACAAAAATGTGCCACAAGACAAAAAGGAGGTTGATAAGGGTGAAGCTGACGGGGAGTAAAAGCTCACAGCTAGAGAAATTGAGCAGTTGATGAGTTAGATTTAAAAGTTATTTTAATGGAACATCATCTCAAGTTGCTTTATATAGTAGTGCATTTGTTTTAAAGGGATGGTTCAAAGCAAAGATAAGGCGATTTGTTTTTCACTGAGGCTGGAAACATTCAAACAGAATCCAAACATATCATATGTCTTTTTTTATATCATTATAAGATATTCATGATACATATGTACTGTCTCCATTGAGATGTCCGTATTAGATAGCAGTGATCTTAAATTAGCTGCATGTCTGCAGCATAACTTTACCGTCATCTGACAGTTTTTTAGTGCTGAATTTGATTTGATTTTTTTTTTTTTTTCTTATATCAGTGTCATTTTATTTCTGACATTTTTACTCAAAGGAAAAAAGAGTTTTCAGATCAACTGGTGTGTCACATTTTTTGTCATTTCTTAAAGCAGTCCCTGAATTAAAGCTACCTGTGTGTTTGATGGTTTTTGCCACATATCCTTTACTCATTTTATGGTACACTGTGCTTCAGTGATTGGCACAACAGGGAGGAACGAAGAAGAAAAGAAAGAAGGGTAAAAAAGTACATAAGTGTACTTTGTGTTACTTCACTTCTGCAGTTTGTCAGGGGTCTTTCATTTTACATGACGTAGTAAAATGTCATGTTTGACGTGTTATGCCTACTGCCACGATCATCGAGCTGCTAGTTCTTCTCTGCACCACAAGATGGCGCTGGTGGCTCGTTTGTTCAGACATTAACATCTGTGACAGGCGGAATATGGTGATTGCTTATGGATGAATAATTGCTTCAGATATTTGACATAATCTCATTTTCTTTGCTACATCAGCTTCTGGTATATCAGACTGATATATGACAGATGTAGTGAATTTACATGTATTTGACAGCAGAAAAGTGAACAGTAACGACTAGTGTCTGTGATGGCAAAAGACTGCATTGGTCATGAGCGAGTTGGTTTTTTGAGTGACGGAATGCACCGCGGTGAAGTTAGTTTTAAGTTCGTTTAAATTCGACAGACATTCACCCAGGATCCGGTGACGGCTTCTTACTCAGTTCACCCAGTATCGGCAGTATAAGTGCCGCTTTTAACCACCGGGGGTTAGCTTAGGGACCATCAATAAATTACAATTATTAAAACAGTGTTATGGGAAAATCATTTATTTCAATAGCTTCCATGTCATGTGATTCAAGGACACCAAACTAATGCCGAATTGTAGAACTACACCAGGCAAATTAGACACACCTCTTAATTTTAGATTTAAGCGCATATTTTATTTTATATTAATATTTATTAATATTTTATGTAAAGAAAAAATTTTTTTTTTCAATAGCTTCCATGTCATGTGATTCAGGGACTCCAAACCAATGCTGAATTGTAGAACTACAATTGACAAATAAGACACACCTTTTCATTCTAGATTTGAGTGCATATTTTATTTGATATGACTATTTATAAGGCTTTCTTTTTTAATAGCTTCCATGTGATGTCATTCAGTGACTCAATACCATTGCTGAATTGTAGTATTATACTAGACAAATGAAGCACATCTTTTCATATTAGATTTGAGTAGTATTTCATATTTCTATTAATATTTTTTTTGGAAAAGACAGCTTTATTTCAATGTCATGTTTTACTAGTGACTCCAACCTATGGCTCAATTGTAGTACTTCATTAGACAAATGAGACACACCTCTTCATATTAGATTTTAGTGCTTTTTCTTATGCTAGTAAATGCTCAGCAGTCTGGTTGTACGACAACAGAGACTTCTAGGACAGCAGGGTGAACAGGCTGTGGCTTTGTTGGTACTGTCCTGGGCTCCTTGCAGACACCTCACCTCACCGATATCACTGATGCTTGGTAGATGGGTACCAATAATCTTCTGGGCAGTTTAAATCACCTGCTGCAGAGCCCTCCTGTCCTGGACCATGCACATCCTATGCCAGATGGTGAGGTTTCCTGTCAGGATGCTTTCTATTGCTCCACTTTAGAGGTTGACAAGACTTTGCCATGGGAATTTAGCATTCTTAAGCTTCGTTTAGAAAGACTATTATTACTAATATAATGTAGCCTACCTTTTATGACTGCCCTCTCCCCGTCCCTCATATGCATTTGCAATGATGAGATGAATACAAACATCGGTTATTTACTGGTCATACCAAATGTTTGTGAGCTGACATTATCTTTTCACCTATATATCTATTTAAAGTGTTTTAACATTTACTTATTCTGGGAAAACTTAAAGATGAGAAAGCCAAACAGACTGGATGGATGTCAAGTTATGTGCCACCCAGTTAAAAGACAGAAGCAGCTGTGGTGTGATTGTTGTTAAGGTATATTGAGGGGATTTTGATTTGATCATTTAATTTTTGTGTTAATAATAATAACATCAAATAAAACATTTGATAAGACAGCTCTAGATGAAAAGTCAAAGGATCATCAAAGTTCTAACAACTCATCCATGAAGATGTGTACCAAATGTCATGGCTAAACCATTCAGTAGTAGTTGAGACATTTCACCCAAAACACATGTGTTAACCTCATGTTGGCGTTGCAGAAAATCACGGAGGTCAGATTTGTCCTCGGGGATCATGTATATCTGTACAAAATTTCATACCAATCCCTCAAATAGTTGTTGAGATATTTCAGTTTGGAACAAAAGGCTCCACCTTCTGTCACAACAACATGCCTATGGTAGATAAGAGAGCTCTGTGTTTTCTTCATGTTTGCAAAGGTGTTAATCTGTGACTCTTGGATGAGTTTTATTTCCATTAACTTTGCAGGTTCAAGCCAGAATATGTGCTCATGTTTCTGTAGAATTATCCTGGGTCTCTCCTCAGTGTGCACTGAGCCTTTCTGCAAAGGTCATGAACAGTTTTATGGTTTGTCTTTTGAAGATGTTACCGGGAGAACTTGGCTTTGATTAATGATTTTTTGGGATGACACATCAAAACTGGATATAGAAAATTAAGAGAAATGTTAAAATGTTCTCTAAAACAAAAATTGTGCAGTATAACCACAGTGCTGGCATTCAGTGAAGGCGTCAGTCATAGTAAGGACTTCCGCAGTTGTCCATCTCTGTCACGTACACATAACACACACATGCATTGACAGAGCTGTGAATTTCTCTCTGCTCATTACACTTGGGCTGAGCTGTTGCTGTGACCCGCCAGTCGTTATCTCCATTATATTCAGCTAAAACTCAACAAATTGCATTGCCACCAGCTCTCAGGTACCCCAATCAGTGTGACCCGCTGACAAGCTTATAGCTCCAACACAAGGGGAAAGGACTGAATGTTTTCAGCCTGCCGGTGTGTTATTAGTATAATACCAATTAGACGATGTGACTAGCCTACATAATGGCTAACGTACAGTGATGCCTCATAATGATATCGCAACGGCAGCATCTTAATGATATGTCTGCTGTCAGGTGAACTCCTTATGTCTTAATAGGGAACATAATAAAACATAATTTACTACAGATGCAAAGGTATTAGGTAGGTTTTCATGGTTGCTGAATGCGTTTTGAAAATGTATAACAAATGACGGATATTGAAACTTTTTATTAAAACCGTAAAGCATTCTGTAGAAGCTGACAGATTAAAATGTTTTACCAGGAACAGCACAATCAAAATCAAGAGAATATAATATTTACAATACTAACCAATTTGTCTACAGGAGAAAACAGCCTCTGATGTTTTAATTGCCCCCAAGGTCATGTCTAATTAAACCTCAGTGGGAACTAAAGCCCACTGCTTTCCAGCCAAATAGGCACGTACACACTGTTCTGCCACCCAGGATTGTACACTCATTCAGGTTTAAATGTCACAGGCCTGTGAAACAATTGCATTCACAGGCGCATGTGCACACTGTCCCCCGGGTCAGGATTAGCATCCATTGGTGTGGCTCCATATCTGACCTTTATGAGTGGCTAAGTAGTGCTCTCCAGGGTCTCATTTGTCTCACTTTACCCGAACAATGGCCTCAACCCCCTCAAAACTGCAGCCTTCTTTCTCACATGTTGAGGCTCAAATTGGTGAGCTGCAGAGCTTTTCAAGGACTCCAGGTTTCACTTACTTACTTACTTATGTGTTCAATATAACCGTTTAAAACCCAGAAAAAACATTGTATAATGCCATTCTGTAGTTATTACTAAATCAGCAGCAATTCAATTCGTTATTATTTATTAAGTGTTTTTATCACTCAAAAACTAGTCTGCTTAATTAGAACGGTGAGCCACCAACCCCACAACGGTCATCACATTTTGATTCAAATGTTGCTGAATTGTGAATGGTGCATGGAGTTACGTGACATCCCCTTTTCTAACAGAGCCCCACCCTCTGCTCACTAGTGACACAAAAACACAAATACAGAAATCTGTCATGTGAAATAGGTTAACAAACACTGGTCAAACTCTGGCAGAAAATAGTAAGTTAATGAGGGACATAAGAAGCTCACTGAGAAAAATGTTTTTCCTTTAATCTCCTATTGGTTGGACAGCGTGTCTCCTTGCATACCAGTATGTTATCTTATGTTGTTTTTAAATCCCATTGCTAAAAATAGGGATTTTAGTTTTGTCTAATTCAATTTTGTCTAAAAATTCAAGTAGTCACAATACTAAAGGCACATATTGTTTTGAAATGTGATATTAAAGCAAGACAATGGAGCCTAACTTGTGAAAGTGGAAATAACACATTCTTCCTCTGGGCACGTTAACGCATTCATTAATTAACACAGACAACTGTTTTATCGCACGTTAACGCAATTTTTATTATTATTATTTAGAAAGTCCGTTGCTCACTGCCTCTGAATACATACTGTATATCCTCAAACTATAGGTCATGCGAAAATCATGCGATTAATCGTGATTCAAAATTTTAATCGTTACCCAGCACTACAAACAAATTTTCCTAACCAATAATGCATAACCAATAACACAACACAATTGAGTGCTCTTATGGGTTTTGCTACTACAACTGACTTACTTGGTCTGGTAGGACCAGTAGCTTGTGGTGGCTATGTTAAATAATGTGAACAAACAGAGACATTGTTATACACCTGATGTTATCCATCACCTCACTGACTTCCTGACTCTTCTCCACTTGTGTTGATTTAACACTATGTTTCAGCCTTCATTATCCTGTTATTGTTACTTTTGGCCACAGAGTTCAGCAAAAGTTTCATAGGCTCATTTTAAGAGTGAACAAATGGAAGATTATCAAACTAAAGAGTAGAATAAAGTGTTGCATTTCATTATGACATGATAATTACTAAATAAATAAACTAAGCCATATCAAACAAGACAAGGCACAGGAAAAAGGTCAGCTAGTACAAGCTTGTATGCTTAAATATAGGTGTGGGAGTGAAGCAGTATTTACCTAGGGAAAGAGGCATGGGCAGATTCAAGAACATGAGGGCCCTCTATCCATAATCATACATTACATTACTACATTTATGTCCTTTGCCTT